CTCGCCCCGGCTCTTGCCCATTTGTCTATCGGCCATACTTACCTTACGCACTCCTACCATATGTCACAATCTGACTCGCCCCTATGTTCCTTATGTAGAGTTCCCATTTCAGTCTCACACTTCCTGTTATCTTGTCCACGATATCAACAACCCATACTGCTTCTTTTATTCACCTATCTTCCCTACACCAACCTCCCAACCTATCAGACATCCTGGTGGAATCCCATACATTCTGCATTGAAAATCTATTCCCCTTCCTCAGACACATACATATCCTTCACTTGATTTAATCCTCTACTGTTTATTCCTAACTTAACCCAGTCACTCACCCCCTCCACCTCTACCTCTCTATATACACCCTTCCAATACCATCCTACTACAGTACAGCTGCTGACATATAACACTTAAGCAATAACACACCCCCATCTCTACCCTTCCCAATACTGTACTATAGTGCTACATGACCTTCGATGTCTAGCACATTAATTTAGCTTCTAACCATTAACTTAAACTTCTAAACTTTAAAAAAACAAAGAAGTCGGTATACACAGAGAAAGAATAGTCATATTTTTATATTACATATTACCTTCCTTCACACAGCTACTAAAACTTGAAAAGAAGCTGGTAGGTTTGGTTCTGCTAGCTGGTGTTGTTGAAGGCCGGCTTATGAGTTTGGCAGACATGAAACGTTATGCTGCCCTTCCGTCTCTGGATGGTGCCAGGGGCCAGCTGCTGTCCATCCTCAGTGCTCCTGCTCAGAAACTTTCACAGAATATGACATCTCACCAGGTATGTGGCTTGGAAATATACAGATATGCAGAGTTATGAATCAGTTGACTTATTTGTCCAATTATATATGCCACAAGTAAATAGGAATTGTTGTTGTTTTTTTTACTAGGACTAGGACACTTTTATTTATAACATTGCCATATTTCAGAGAGAATTGTCATCAGCTCTTGAACGATATATATCAGATCAGACTCCATCACCACAAGCAGAAGAAAAATGAGTGAGCAGAATAATACTTATGATAATATAGCTATGTAAATAGCCCTTGAAAGTGAAGTAATATCATAACTTGCTTGTTTCTCCTCTTTCTGTACATGATGTATTATAGCTGTTTAATAAAAAAGATGTGAAAGTAAATTATGCTTCACAGAAAAATAACTGTTTTTAGCATCAGAATCCTTTTCTTTTGCTTCACTCGTTATGAGTCAAAACAGGAGGACAGAAGCTTCCATCTTCTTTACCAAAACTCCATCTTATTCATGTTTTGCTATTTCTTTTTGTAATCTTTCTACCTGCAGTCCTGTTAATTTTTGTTAGAAAACAGAGGTAATGAGAGGAGCATGTAGGGCATCACTTCCTTGATGTATAAAGTGGTTGCGATCCTGATTGTAATTCTTATTAACTGTACACCCCCCAATCCTTTGCCCATTGTTGTTATGGGGGTGCTTAGGAGATGGAGACCGAGGACCAGTGCAGGGATCTCCCCTGCCTAGGTCTCAGCCCTCGACTCAACTAATTTTGCATGGTCTTTTCTTCCTCCATCTCTTTTGTTTCCGTCCCTTCTCCAATCCCTTCTACTATCTATTTCCTAAGGTGTAAGTCCTAAACGTCCTGAGGGAGCTATGCGCAAGGTATTCCCATGTTTTATTGTTTAACCTTTACCTCTCAAGGAGACTCTGAGGGGTAGGCTGTTTATTTCCCCAACATAGGTAAGGCTTCCCATTGCCAGTAATGAAGACATAATACCCATATTTGAGGCAATGAGGCTTACCCTTTCATCAAATAGCCCCACCAATGCAAACTCTCCCGGCTCCCTGACCCCAGGTTCTCCTTTGACCATGACTCTGACCACTACAAGTACGACCCACTCCTCAATGCCTACTATTGCATTACTCAACCAAGTAGAGACTCTTACTCTCACAACTTCCTCAACCTCATCACCTCTACCCCCACAGCCTTCATCAAACACCCCATACTCCTTTATTACTACCTTACAGCCTTATTCTCCATCTCTCCATAATACTACCCCCCTCAACAATACTCCCTCTTCCACACGTCCCCATCCTTCTACCACCCACAACTCTACGAATATCTTAAATACTCTAGCTCAGCTAAATGGGACTGATTTTTCGTGATCCCCTCTACAGCTCCTTACCCAGGCACTACTCTCCTCTTTCAACAATGCCTCCAAAAGGAAGAGGGCAGAGTCCATTTCTGTATCCGACCCGATCGTTCCCGTCTCGGTACAGTTACATCTGAAACCGAAGCCATAGCATTATCAAATCTAACTGATCTCTCTGGCAACCCTATTCCTGCCGAACCTCATCCAAATCTTGATACTTGTACCAGAACTGTGTCTATCTCCCCAGCAAACTGCCCTATGGATATTGATTGGTCAGATTGTGGAGAATACTTACTCGCCTGCCTTAAAAACCGTCATGTAATATCAGTTCAGTGGTACTCCATTCCTCCTAGAGGTTATTGAAAGAAATCCACCAACATTGCCAAAATTACTTTCCATACACATGACCTTCCCTTCCATATCTACATCAGTGGACAATCCCTCCCTGTTCGACCTCCTCCCCATCAATGTCAAAACTGTTGGCTCTTTGGACATCCTGCCAAACACTGCCGTTCCACAGACCGATACGCCCTATGTGCGCAACCCGGTCATAACCAATCAAACTGCCCTGCACAAACACGCACATGTGCTAACTGCGGCAGCCCCCATAATATATTATATAGAGTTTGAGTCTGAGGTAGCAACTCTGGTACAAAAATGGTCTCACTCTACGTGAAGCCAGACAGGAAGCCAACAAGGTTTCTCTCATACTCCCTGTTCTATTAATGTCGCTTGCTCTGTTCCTCCCCCTCCACCTCAAGATGTTCCTACACCCTCCCCTATACCTACTTACTTCCCCACTTCCACTTCTACATTTTACCTTTCCCAGTCAAATTCTTTTGCCACTCTAAATCCAGACACTCAATTTTAACTACAGCCCCAACACCGTCCCCTCTTCCTCCCCGCATTACCCGCAGCAGACAGACTAAACTTTATACCCCATCTTCCCCTACCGCACACTCGCCTCCACCTATTTTTGACTCTGTTCCTCAGACACCAGTCTCCTCTTCCCCTCCTCATAAAAATCCTTTGTCTCACAAAACTCAACCAACTCCACTGCAGAATCTATGGAAGATATTCAAAGCCATATGCTTGAGACACAAAATTCCACCTCATGTTCCCTCCACACTCAAAGTGACTGCCGATATCCATCCCCCTCCTACTTATATTCCCCCTACACCCCTTTGTCCTACTTCCTCTCAACACAACCTAACCCACTCAATTCCATCTACCACCGATATCTATCCTCCTGATATCCATCTTCCTGATACTACCAATATCCATCCTTCTCCTACTCATATTCCCCTTACACCCCTCCCTCCTACTCCCTCCCATCACAACCCATAACTCTCAACTCCAACTTCTGCCAATATCCATCCTCCCAACACCCATCCTCCTCCTACACATATTCCCCATACACCACTTCCTCTTACTCCCTCCCAACACAACCCACCCCCTCAACTCCAACTACACGTCATTTCCACTACCTCTTGGATAGACACGTGAATCCCTTATGTAAATCCCTTACCTAGATCCATCATAGCCCATTCACAAAGCAACTCCTTTACAAAAATTTACCCTTTTGAGATTACTCTAGCTAGTTGACACATAGCAACTATCACCCTTCACCCCTCCTTTAATATATTTTCCTATATGCTATACGACATTAGATGTCTAGCACATTCATTTTGCTTTTTGACCATTAACCATTAACCTGTACATTTAAATCTCCTTTCCTTTCTTCCCAGCTCAATTGGCATATTCTGTGGCTCCATATTCCCAACTTCACTGATTCCAATAAACAATATTTTTCTTCCTAAATCCTAAACACCAATCTTACCTAGTGAAAACATGCCCTAGTTCATTGTGTCCTAAAGAAATATGACCATATCACTGGCTGACAGCTTTGAATCAAGAAGGATCAACTTCCATCATTACACCTTTCACATATTGTAAGATCATAAGCTTGTACAGTGGGCAGTAATTACATTAAAGGGGGATCCAAGCTCTCATTCATGTTAGCACTTGACTGTATGACAACCCAGATTGTCAGTCATGTGTCATAGTGAATTATATTAAAAATAATCACAAGTTATTTCAGAAAGGCACATTATGCACCCGTCTACTGGGGAAGGAGCAAAATAACATGACTCCATACATTAATAAAAGAAAAATATTTGTATTATATGTATACTGTAAATTCTCCCTTTGTGTGTTTAAACTTACAAACCTAGGATTGGATAATTCAATGACAGAATATCCAGATTAGGCATCGAACATTTATTCTTTGTGTCAGGACAATCTACCATCAAGGAAAGTTAGGCAAATGAGGGTAGAGGTGTCCACACTCTTAGAAGATAGTGTTAGAAGCACAGGTGACTGACCCCTGCGGCATGAATCCGCAGGCATCAGGGTAGCTGGAAAGGTAACAAAATTCGGAATCTATGGCAAAAGAACTGCCTACTTTGACATATAGAGAAATGGACATCTGCCAGTCAGACGGTGGTGGGTGTGGTCTACAGAGTCATGAAAAAGTACAAAAACCCTGAGCTAGATTAGCTCGATCAGGTAACAAGCCAAATCATGGCAAAATATGTCAAATATAATGTGTATTAGAAGTGACAAACGGCACATGTTTTCATCGGTGACAGACCCCAAAAACTAGAACATAAAAGTCAAGCTAGATCAGCTTATGGACTACCAACCCAAGACGAACTTCAAATGATACCGTGATGAGAGACAAGAAAGGACTTATCAGGAGTTTTGCTGAAGTTGCTGGTCAATTATTTACTTATTTTATTTATTTTTGCCCTGTCACAAATCTAGAGAAAACTGAATACCAAGCATTCTCAATTATTTTTACAGTCACTTCATCAAATGGCTAGATCATTAAGGATTTTGGCGGTGTCGTGGTCCAAGTGCCCGATATCCGCAACAGTGAATAACCTCCTGCCCAAAAGAAGTTAGGGAGGTTATATCTGCAACTGTCCTATTTTATATATTTAAAAAATCAGCCGCGTCAATAGCTAAGGTCATTAGCAGCGTTTACAAAATATAGCAAGCAATAGGGCGAGGTTTGGGGGGGACGAAACCCCCAGGTAAGGAAAGGTTATACTTCACTATGCCAAGGTATTATGGCAAAAAAAAAACATAAAGAATTAACATTTAGTACAAAATATGTTAGATGTAGGTTAGAATGTGAAAAGGGTTAAGAGGAAATATCAAACGGAGTACGAAAGCCATTCAGGACTGACAGAGCCAGTCTTTCATCCTTTCAGCATGGCTCTAACGCTTTAGGATATGGGTAGAACAAGGGAATTAAGAAGAGAGAAAAAGAAAGAAGAAAAGTCCATACAGAATTAGTTGAGGCGAGGGCTAAGGCCCAAGGTGGGGGTGATCCTGTCTCCTAACCCCCCACAACAATAACAGGCATGGAATTGAAGGGCGCCACTGTCCTAATATATTCTTCACTGCCCTCACATACTACTCTGCCTCTACCGACTTCCTAATTCAGCACCACAGTTATTGTCCTGAACATTGTCTACAGTTCTACAATGCAACCCCTGGCTTTCTTTATACTTCTCTGGCAATACCCAAATGGTTAATGGTTGAAACAGATAAATGTGTTAGACATCGAAGGTCATATAGCAATATGGTAAAGTATTGTGGTGAAATGGGCACAGGAGTAAACAATTAGTATAAAGAGAGTGTACAAATGATGTAAATCAGGCATTAATAAAGGAAAGGGTTAAGGGTATAGAGGGATTGGATGGAATGGGGTGTATCTGTTGTTGGGGAAGCTATAGTAGCATTGCTTTAAGGAAAAACTGTTAAGAGCTGTTATGAAATAACGGGTAATACGGGTAGAGATAGCTGATGGAGAAGTAGCAGAAGAGTCTGGGGATGAGGTAAGGGGACTAGGGAAGGATGTGAAGTATCAGGAAGTATCCAGAGGAGGCTACTGTTGCGACAGAAGGGATTCACGTGAGTATCCAGGTAAGTAAGGATAATGGAGAACGAAAAAAAATGGTGTACATGGAGGAGAGGATTGTGTTTGTTGGGAAAGAGTAGGAGGAAGAGGGGTAGGGGTACTTGCAGGTATCGGAAGTGGTTGAAAATGGAGTATCTGGATTTAGAATGGAAAATGAATGGCTGGGGGATAGGGAGAGTAGAGGTGGGATGGTTCAAATTAGAGGGAAGAGATCTTCGGGGTGATGCAGAAACATCTTGGAATAGGTAAAGAGAGAAAAACCTCTTCCTTGAGCTTCCTGTCTAACCTCACGTAGAGTGAGGCCTAGTTTAACTCTGAGAACTGCTAACTCACATTCGAGTTTATAGGCAGGGCATCTTATAAAATACATTATGGGAGTCACCACAATTGGCACATGTATGTATGTGACTGAGCAGGGAAATTTAAGGACAATAAGGATGAAGAGTCGTAATACTAGAAGAGGGGGTAGGCATTGAAGAGGACTGTGCAGTAGGAGATGGAGAAGAAAATATTGGGAGAGAGGAAGGGGCGCATTCTGGAGGTTGAGTAATAACCTGGGTGGGTGGTTGAGAATGGATAGAGTTGTCAGTAAACATCGAAAATGGGGTATTAGTATCAGTGGTCGGAGCCGTGGTCAAAGGAGGGGCAGGGGTCGGAAATCCATCATAATCAAAATCAGATAGCTAGTTGATGGATTAAGCCTTAACGCCCTTAATAAGGGTAAAGAGTTTTCATTATTGGCCAGGGTGAGCCTGAATAAAATGGGGAAAAGAAACGGTCTACCCCTCTGGTTCCCCATATGGAGTAAGTTAAGGGCTAAATAATTAACCAAGGGAATACCGTGCCCATGGCTCGAAAGACGTTCATGACCAACATAAAGCTAGCCTTTCATCTTTTTAGCACAGCTCTCAGTTGAGGTGAGGGCTGAAGTCTTATGTAGGGGTAATCCCTACAATGGGCTAAAGTATCCGTCTCCTAAGCCCCCCCACGACAAAAACGAGCAAGGTATTTGGAGGGTAATACTCTAAACGAAAATCAAATATATAGTGCTCTTTCCAGACATGCAGTAATGTTATTGCTTGCAGATCACATCTTATAGCCTTGCTTATACTACTTTTCCCCATCATTGCAGCTGTCCATGTTGCATTCATTAGAAGAATATGGTAACAATACACTTCATTGCTTATGAAGCCTCTTTTTTCCCATGCGCTTATAATCATCAAAATCAGCTGATGTCAGTCCTAAACATATTTTTTCCTGTTACCAGCCATCTTTTTTTTAACTAATTTTCTCTTCCCACTCTTTACCTCCATTTCTTTAGTTTTCACAATTTCTAATACAGGTGGTTTTCATCTTTTCTCATCCTTCATTTATTTTTTCTAATTACGATGCATCTACATGCATCGATAAGGATATATTTTAATTATCACAAATTTGCAATATAATGCTTCAACAGAATATCATAATTGAATCTGCCAGAATGATAATGGTTGAGTTAAAAAGCAAAATAAATGTGCTAGACATCTAAGGTTAAATAGCACTATAGGAAAGTATATTAAAGGAGTAGAAGGAAGATGGATATCGGTATTAGAAGGGGTTGAGGGGGATGGGTAGTGTTGGGAGGAAGTAGATGGAAGGGGTGAAGGGGGTTTATGAGTAGGAGGATGGATATTGGTAATAGACGGAGTTGAGGGGAATAGGCTGTGTTGGGAGGAAGTAGGAGAATATGAGTAGCAGGAAGATGGATATCGGTATTAGACGGAGTTGAGGGGGTTAGGTTGTGCTGGGAGGGAGTAGGATGAAGGGGTGTAGGGGGAATGTGAGTAGGAGGGAGATGGATATCTGCAGTCACTTTGAGTGTGGAGGGAGCATAAGTTGTGGAAATATGTGTCTCAAGCATATAGCTTTGAATATCTTCCATGGTCTCTCCAGTGGAGTTGGTTGAAGAGTTTTGTGAAACAATGGTTTTCTTATGAGGAGGGGAAGAGGAGACTGGTGTCTGAGGTATAAAGGTAAAGGTAGGTGGAGTTGAGTGCATGGTAGGAGAAGAAGGGGTGGAACGTTTAGTCTGTCTGGTTGCGGGTAGTGCGGAGAGGGAGAGGGGACGATTTGGGCTGTAGCTGAGATTGGAGTGCCTGGATTTAGCGTGGCAAAAGAATTTGACTGGGGAAGGTAGGAGGTAGAAGTAGAAGTGGGGAAGTAAGTAGGTATAGGGGAGGGTGTAGGGACATCCTGGGTTAGAGGGGGAGGGACAGAGCGAGCAACATTAATAGAGTATGGAGTATGAGAGAAGCCTTGTTGGCGTGCTTCCTGTCTTGCTTCACGTAGAGTGAGACCATGTTTATATCGGAGAGGTACTACATCAGACACGAACTTGTAAATGGGACAGCCTCTATAAAATACATTATGGGGGCCGCCACAGTTAGCACATGTGCGTGTTTGTGCAGGGCAATTTGATCGGTTATGACCGGGTTGGGCACATAGGGGGTATCAGTCTGTGGAACGGCAGTTTTGCACGATGTCCAAAGCGCCAACAGTTTTGACATGGATGGGGAGGGGGTTGGTATGGTTGACTGGGAGGGATTGTCCACTGATGTAGATACGGAAGGGAAGGTCATGTGTACGGAAAGTAAATTTGGCAATGTTGGTGAGTTTCTTTCGGCTGTATTCCATTCCTCTAGGAGAAATCAGATTCTCACAATCTGACCAATCGATGTCCATATGGCAGTTTGCTTGGGAAATAGACTGTGTCTCAGTTCTGGTACAAGTATTAAGAGTTGGGTTGGATGAGGTTCTGCAGGAATGGGGATGCCAGAGAGATAAGTTAGATTAGATTATGCTATTGCTTCAGTTTCAGATGTAACTGTAACGAGACGGAAACAATCAGGTCGGGTACGGAAGGGGACGCTGCCCACTTCTGCCCAAGTAAGGAGCTGTAGGGGCGAGGGGGCCACAATAAATCGGTCCCATTTGCTTGGGCTAAATAGATTATTTAAATACTGGTAGAGTTGTCGGAGGTAGAAGGATGGGGACGTGTGGAAGAGGGATTATAATCATCAAAATCAGCTGATGTCAGTCCTAAACATATTTTTTCCTGTTACCAGCCATCTTTTTTTTAACTAATTTTCTCTTCCCACTCTTTACCTCCATTATGGAGAGATGGAGAATAAGGCTGTAAGGTAGTAAATAAGGGAAGATGAGGTGATTGGTGAAGAAGGTTGTGGGGGTAGAGGTGATAAAGTTGAGGAAGTTGGGAGAGTAAGTCTTGACTTGGGTGGGTAATGCACTAGTAGGCATTGAGGAGTGGGTAGCAGTTGTAGTGTTCAGAGTCGTGGTCAAAGGAGAGCCTAGGGTCGGGGAGCCAGGAGAGTTTGAATTGGTGGGGCTATTTGATGAAGGGGCAAGCCTCATTGCCTCTAATATAGGTATTACATCTTCATTACTGGCAATGGCAATGGGAAGCCCTGGCTATGTTGGGGAAATAAACAGTACACCCCTAAACAACAATACAGGGGAATGCCATGGCCATGGTTCCCCCAGGCCTTTCAGGAATGGCACAAAGGCAGCCTTTCATCCTTTCAGCATGGCTCTTACACCGTAAGAGGTAGATAGTAGAAGGGATTGGAGAAGGGATGGAAACGAAAGAGCTGGAGGGAGAAAAGACCTCCATGAAGACAATAGGCAAAGGATTGGGAAGGGGCAGAATGATAAATGACAAATCAGTCTAATAGGTAAAGAAATGCTCCCATCTTAGCCTGTGTTAAGTACGTTTCTTATGCTCCATAAAGACTGTTAAGGTCGTATGGGTTTATATAGTTTCTTATAGGGGCAGAATGATAAATGACAAATCAGTCTAATAGGTAAAGAAATGCTCCCATCTTAGCCTGTGTTAAGTACGTTTCTTTTGCTATTAACTTCCAGGTGATTAATGATGCTTGACTTTGCTAATTCATACTATTGAATTGATTATATCAATGAATATTACAAAAAAGAACGAATGGGTTTATATAGTTTCTTTTGCTATTAACTTCCATGTGATTAATGATGCTTGACTTTGCTAATTCATACTATTGAATTGATTATAGCAATGAATATTACAAAATAGAACGAATGGGTTTATATTTCCTTCTATATTTTACCTAATATTAGTTCTACTTCCAGCTCATTCATCACTATCCATTTCCTTACACTCTCAGTTGATGTAGCGAGATCTGAGGCTAAAAAATAATTTTAAACATTTACTTCTACATAGTAATAAACCCAGTACAAAGGAAATTGGACTTGTTATGTAATCTTGTTATTTTAAGGAGAAATAAGACAACTAAACAAAAATGACAATATATAGCACAAACCAACAAAATATTACAGAAAATAAGATAATATAACATTTCCATTGCATTTACAACATTTACAAAATCAACAGAATCAGCCTTTGCCAAATACATGGTTTAATTGCGAGGGTCAGGTACAAACAGTGTATGTACTGATTCTTTTTCTCTTTGGCATCATTTAAACAGTGCAAACTTTTTTTCTCTTAGAGGGGGGACCAATATACAAAAACCCTCAAGATGAAATACCGTAACATGTCTGAATTTGCAAATACACTTATACAACAGCAAGTATTTCAATCATATATACATAAAAATGCATACATACAAAGAAAGGACCCCAATTCATCGAAAAAGCATATAATGTTAATCTGGTCTGAAAATATACCAAATCAAGAATCCTCTGTCTCTGAAAAAATACAAAAATAAAATGTAAATAATAAAATACTTTTTTTTTAGATACACTAAACCAATGAGCACATAATTCATTGACAAAGGATGATGAACCAACCGTAATCCAATATCACTAAGGATGAAATGTGCAGAAAATAATAATGTTAACACTTTGAACATTATATGAGGTTCTGTCTTCCGTCTATGACTAACAGCAGACACTGAACATAAGCAAAACACGGACACAGGTAACACACTGCAAAACTAAATTCCATCACACTTTAAATCTACCATAGAACCACTATTTATACTTTCAGCAGCTTTTGTGGGATAGAACAAGTGACATGCACCTAGGGATATTCCGCAATAGGAGACAAGGCACTTGCTTTGCAGCAAAAGATGTAGTAGGATGGCTAAAGGATGGTTTAAATACTTTGCAGAACACAATCCTAGATACCTTTCTCCATCTTGCAATCAACCTGAAGTATAAAGAATGACAGTAACGATGTAGTTTACTGAGAACACAGGAACCTTAATACAATTTATCTACATTTTTCTAGATCAGTAAGAAAATTACAAAATGTTTATCTGGATGACACACACTGTGATATTTACAAATAATATAATACATTCATATGTACATAGATATGGAATTTAACCATTTCAGAAGAAAAGAAAAGAAAAAAAAAAAAAATGCTGGGACACCGGTGATTTTAATGTAGAAATAATATATATGTTCAGCATTATTTTTTTCCTTTCTTTCTTTTCCCTTCTGAAAAATGGAAATGCTACTCTTAGCATGGTATTAGCATAGATGATACAAGGGAACAAAAACTACAAAAGTTTTTCCTATTCCTAAAATATGATAAAATAATGATAATCAAAACAAGTACACTCATAATGATCTGAAGTATCCCTTGGTGGAAATAGGTTATAGTCATGAAATACTTTTATGTATGAGTGTACAAATTTACTCTTCTTTCTTTCTTTCTTTTTTACCAATAATGGTTCTTCTTGCCAAGTATAATCAAAAGAATGTTGTGCACCTATTTTACCATACTACCTTCAATTAAAGTGTATCTGTAAGTTTTATATTTACAACTTGAAGTGGAAATACATGGAAAAATATATATACAGTGGTTACAGTGTTATAAAATATATCCAGAGGTAGTTAAACATATTCATGGCTCACAGGAAAAGCTCTATGCTTCTTCTTTGATTCAATTTTACATGAATAAAGGCCA